TATCATTTAGTATAAAATTTCCTGCACTGGGGAGATAGCTTGATGCATAAGTGCCTACCTAGCAAGCGCGAGGACCCGGGTTTGATCCCCGGTACCACATGCCGTGCTGGCCCTGGATGATCTAGCCCCCAAACCAACCATGGTGGCATATACCTGTAATCCCAGTGCTGGGGAGGCTGATACAGGAGGATCCCTGGGAGTCCAGCTTTGTATCAAGACCCTGTATTAAAGATAAAAATAAAAATATATATATTTTTAATTTTTCTGGCTAGGTAAAAAGAATAAAAGGAGAAATGTGTAACTACATAGACTGGGTACACCACAAGTGAAAATCTGAAGAACATAATTATAACTAGATGCCATATGCCTAGACTATAATATGAAGATTAACTTCATTGAAATATTTGTTTGCTTTAAACATATTTTAGATCGATTTAAAACTTACAACAAAATTAAGAGATTAGAGATTACCTCCCTCAGACATGCCTGACTTCCCTATTAACAACCTCCTCTAACAAATTTGTACATTTATTAAAATTCATCAATGTACAGTGATATATCATAACCGTGCAAAGGCTGTGGTTTACATTCAGGCCCATTCTTGATGTTTGCTATGGTTGAAATGTTTACTTACCCCTTGCCAAATTGTTATTAATCCTGATGTAAACGCATTCAGAGATGAGGCCTTTAGGGTGCGGTTGGATGATGGTGCCCCTATCCTCACAAACAGAATTAGTGGCCTTATAAAAGAGTACAAGGAGGGCCAGCCAGATAGCTTAGTGGACTAAAGCACTTGCTTAGACAGGCACAAAGACTGGGGCTCCATCCCTGTGCTGTGCTGTGCCGTGCCAGCCCCACTCCCAGGGCTCACTGAGATAGCGAATGAGACAGGGCGTGGTATTGCACGCCTGTAATCCCCGGGCTTGGGAGGCTGAAAACAGGAGGGTCACTAAGAGTCTGAGTTGTGTAGTGAGACCCTGTAGACCCTGTGCTAAATACAAAAAATATAAATAAATAAAAATAAAGAGCACAAGGAAACTAGCTAGCCTTGTGCCACCTGAGAATGACTAAATGGTGCTACCTACAAGGGGGTACCTTTTACCAGCCCTGAGTGCACAGTGGGGGGAGGTGTTATTAATCATCCAGCCTAGCATGCCTTTGATAGTAAGAAGTGGAGCATGTATGTAGAATAATTAAAATTATAATAATTTAAAAATATTGATGTACTAATCAATTTTCAGGTTTTATTGTACTAATCTATTTAAGGGATAGTTCCTTTGGGGGAAAAAGACCCTATTTTAAGACATGCAATTATAATAATACTATGTTGTCAAAACTGAAAACTTAAGAACAAAATAAAACCAGAAGGGACATAGGACAAAGGGCATAACTGAAACTGTCCTTGGCAAACAGGAAGCATGGTCACCTGACTTACAAAGTCAGGATTGGGAGCTTGAGGGTTAGCTCAGTTGTTTAAAGTTCCCACTTTAATGGTCTGCTTCTGGCTGAGTTGGGCAAACTCAGTCAGGTTCAGGGGACTATGGTTTGATCCCCTGCTCTGCAAGCCACACGAGACCCACAGTTAAGGTTGCCTGAGATAGAAAAAAAAAAAAAAAATCCAAAGTCAAAAGATTGTCCACGGTGTTGCTCCTGACAGCAGTCTCAGTACCTCCTCTTGTTATTCACAGATTTTGCTAGAGATCCAGCACACGTGGGCTTGTATTCTAGGTGTGGCTGCCTAAACTCCTGGTTTCCAAATCTTCGGTGCATTTCTGGCAATGTGCCTTCTATCTGCGATCCAGGAGTAGGGACTGCCTCTTTCTGAACATGCTTGGGGTGGAACTAGCTGTAATCTGGTATTTAAGCAGTTCCGAAACATCAGAACCCATCTTAGGAGAAGGAGATTTCATCAAAGTGAGCAGGGAGGACAGCATGTCAGTTATTTCTCTCAAAATTCCGAGTTTGAGAGCTCCACAATCAATGATCTTTTAATTGAAGATAGTGGCTAGACTGATAGAAGCAAGACCAGAACTTTCATTATCTAACATCCCTAGTCCTTTGGGGCAGGCTGGGATCCCTGTTTCTCAGCCCAAACCTTTTCTTATCAGCCTTTTCCCTTTTTCTTTCAACACTAATTGTTGTAGAGAAGAATAAAATAGTCTTTATGTCAGTGTTGTATGGCATCTTTCTAATGCTTAGCACCAAGTGGCTAGGAAAACAAACACTTTAGATTTAGACAGTAGTGCCTTAAACATTGGTCACATTAATATCCCCTGAGTGCCAACATATTCAAGTCATCTTTTCTGGTTGGAAATAATGTCATGCAGCTGGCTGTCTGAAGCAAGTGAAATATTCCATGGAAATTTTGGTCTAGCATGGTTTTTGGCAAATAGTAAGTGGCCAGTAAATGATAGCTATCATTGTTCGGGTAATGATGAAAGATTTTATATGGTAGGGGCAGCTTGGAAAACACTAGATTCTTTATCCTTCTTGGTAGATTAACTAATGGTCAACTTGTAACACTCAACTGAAGTGAATCACAGTGGTTCTTGGTGAGGAAAGCCCATCTGAAGATAGTTGCCAACAGCATAAAAGCAGAAATGGAGGGCAAAATGATGTGCCATTGATGCTCCTGGAGAAACTTATTGTGCTGATTTTCCTGATATGAGCTCAGATATTCTCACTCTTGGAGGAACTGAGATCCTTGCTGTCCTTGAGGATAGTGGCAGTTCTTTTCAGGGGAACCCTTGTGCTTGACTTAAGCATGGCTTACCGGGCCAGTGTGGCTACTTCATCCTGCTGGAGCAGACTTTCTAGTTTCCATCATTGACTATTGGGCATTCCCAGAGCAGGTCTTTGATACAGACTTGCACAAGACCTTGTCATGGACTCTAGTCCTCTAGTTGGACTCAGGGAGGCCATCGTCATGGGCTTTGGGTCTTTAGGTGGACTCATTCAGGACATTGCCATGAGATCCAGACCCTCAGTTGGATTCTTTTGGTCTTTAGTGTGTGGACAGATGTCCTGTATTTTTCTGCTTTGACTCTTAGAATGAATATTATTAAATAATCCTATAAATTATGTGGTCTGTATTAATTTTTTCCCATGTAAATCCTGACTAGCACATCCCCCACTTCAGCTTCCTCCCCATCCACACTGTCCTCAGACTTAAGGTCCCCCTAGCAGTAGTTGGGCTATCATTCTGCCATTGACTTCTTTTCCTGGCTAGCATCTTTTATTTCTGGCTTATCTTTCTCATATCCTTTCTTCCAGCTGGTCCAATCTTAGGACTCATGCTTTTGCTGTCTTCCTTGTCTAACCTTGGAGAATTTTAGTTTGTTATTTATGCCAAAACATTAAAGACTAGTGTAATTTTCATGGGATTACTAGCATAATCTTGCCAAGGGATGTTTCCATTTTAATGCAGGTCAACATCATAACCTAATTCAATAAAAATGTAAAACTTAACTTGAAGATATCAATGATGGGGATGAGAGGAATATTTTTAAAGAGGGGAACTCTGTGAAAGCAACGCATATAACTAAGTTAACATTTATTCAGTGGCAAGTTCGTTTTGCACTGCAACTAATATGCATTACTTCACTTAGCCCTCATAACCAATGAATTAGGTATCACTTTTCATTTTAGCTTCCTGTGAGGAAAACGAAGCTTAGAAAAGTAAAACACACTAAAGTCATATACACTTACCATATGGAAAGGACAAGATTTGGAACTTGAGTCCTTCTGACTTTTCCACTGCCTCCTATACTATCGCTGACAGGCTGATTTCTGACAGGGAAGGGATCCTCTTGTCCTTCCTATCACTATTTACTAGAGCTTACTGAAGTGCCTGGCACATGGGAAACAGCCAAATAACAGCTGATGAATAAATTAATGAATTAATTAATATCCATTCGATCCATATTCTCCTCTCTGTTTACCATGGGATCTCCTCTTTCTTGGAGGTCTTGCCTTGTTGAGTATTCCAAAAAATTGGAACTTCTTATGTTCCCACATATAATGTTCTTTTTCCTGACTCTGTGCTTCTGCCATGCTGTCACTTCTACCTGTAATCTTTCACTTCCCTGAGGTCCCTGAGCCAACTCCATCACACCCAGAGACAGGCAGAGCTCAAGAATGACTTCTTTCATAAAGCTCTGCCACACTCTCACCTCCTCTCTCATCCACCCCAGCACATCCAGGATTGTTTCTGTGTGTGTGCCTTCCACTAGGTAGTGGAGAGGTTTTGAGGGCCGATGTCTGACATATTTTCATGTCCTGTATTTGTACCTGACATATGTTTATGTGTTTTTTCAACTAACATTTTTTAAATTCTCCCAGCCTAAACTTGTTTATTCAGTTCTAAGATACCTGCATTCTTTTTCCTATTTTAATAATCTCTGATTTAAGTTATATCTTGCAATTGATCAAATCTTTGAATTATATTTCAGTTTTTTAATTAGGGAAACAAGAAGTAAGTGTCACTCTCTACAGTCAGTGATAACTTTGATTTAGTGAAATGCAGTAATAGCTGTTAAAGATTATATGAATTGATGGATTGGTGGCATTCATACCCCTCCTCAAATCACACTGTTCCTATTTAAAACCTAGTTTTTGCTGAGTGTGGTGACCCATACCTGTAATCCAAGCCCTGAAAAGGCAGAGGCAGGAGAGTTACTATGAATTTCAGGCCAGCAAAGTGAACTCAAGGCCAGCCTGTCTCAAAAAATATAAATAGGGCTGGGGATAAAGCACAGTGGCATAAGTACCTGCCTGGAAAGCACAAGGTCCTGAGTTCAATCCCTAGTACTACAATAAATAAATAAAATAAAATAAACATAGTTTTTTGCATTACAGGCACTGACAGTGCAGTAGTTGATCTTTATTATCTATGCTACTTTTTTCTTACACAGGTAAAGCAGATAATAAACCAGCTGAAACTGTTCTTAGTCACTTCTTCCTGGAATGATGTAACCTGTTCCAAATATATATATTTTTAGGTGAAATGGATCTTCAAATTCTCTCCAAAGTCAAGGCTCAATACCCAGGAGCTCATATCATCAACGAAGTTGTTGAGCCCAACGCTGAACAGATCACCAAATACAAAGGTGCCTGTAACACACTGAGCTGTGTACAAAATCTTGTTTCCTAAAGTTTCTCATCTCGTATTTTTGCTTTGGATCATTAATAGTACAGTTACCAGAGTATGCTTTTTCTAGGCTTGCTGGGAAAAGCCTAATTATTGGTTGCAGACATGAATAAACACCTCAGATATAAACAGTAAACAATTAGATTCTTTCATTGACTCTCTATCCATTCCTCTGTCATCTTCAGCTATTGTTCTTAAAGTTGATTCTTTGAGATGGACTCATTGATTTATTGATGTATTCATTCAGCAATATCTAAGCATCTCTGCCCTGAAAGAGGAAGAGTTGCAGGAGGAGACAGTCAACTTTTCCTGAAAAGGACTAACTAACAAATGTTTTAGATTCACAAGTCCTCAAAATCTGTCACAACTTAATCAACTCTGGTGCTGTGACACAAAGCAGTCATAAGCAATATGTAAACTGAAGCAACATGAATGATCGTGTTCTCATGAAACTGTACCTGTAAACACCAACATTTGAATTTCATGTCAATTTGACATATTAGTATTTATCCTTCTGATTTCTTTCTGATAATTTATTAGTATGAGCCATGGATGACAGAGTCACAGAGTTAGGAAGCAGAACACTGTCTGGTTTTAGCTTATAGTCCATAGGAAAAGTGGTGCTGGGCCCAGTGGAGTCTCTGACAGTGGTTCGTCTGCTCCTGGGTTACACAAACCTATCATGTGTTCCACATCAATTCTCCATTAATAAAATTCTCCAATTGATTCCCCATTTATACTGAGATAATGTAACCTTTGTCTGATCGGGTTCTCATTACTTCTGATTGACTCTATCTTTCACCTCTAATTTCATTTAATAGTGGGGAAAAAAATCAGGAGGAGCCCTCTCTGGTTTCTCAGAGCTACATAAAAAAGAAAGATGTGGTTTATGTCTGTTATGTATATAGCATTGATTGCATTAAAATTCTAAATGGAAATGGGCTCCACATTTGCAATTAAAATTGATGCTGTGCCACCTCTTCTCTGAATTTTAGAGCTTGTAGCCAAGACTTCAAATCTTGAGAACATAAAGTTTGCTTGGCATGAGGAGACATCAAATGAATTTCAAAACAGAATGATGGAGAAAAAGGAGACTCAAAAGTGGGACTTTATTCATATGATTCAGGTAAGAAATACTTACTATAATGCACTATCAGAAAAGAGATTTTTCATATGCATATATGAAGAATGTACAGTGTTTTAATATTTTTAAAGATAAAATCTTCTGACTTCTAGTTTTAAAAGTGAGCATAAAAGTGTTGATATCACTACAATTTTCATTAATATCTAATAAGCTCTTGATTCATTGTCTTCATTCACAAGGCGTTCTTTTTTTGTAAATGTTGTCTTAATTAGTTTTTCATAATGGAAAATTTATGCATAGATTTGATGACAAGACTCAGAACTTGTGCCCTCTCTGTCATGTGCATACCAACCAGGCCATCTATGGAAGGCAAAAGCAAGACAATTCAGATAATAGAGAGTGGCAACATATCCTAATGTATTTTCAAGCAGCTCAAAGGGTCTAAGGTCCAGTGTCCCAGAGTTTTTCTGAATTGTCTTTCTTATGCCTTCTATAAATGGCCTGGCTAGTATGCACATGACAGAGAAGGCATAGGTGCTGTGATTCCTGAGATAATAAGGTTTTACTATTATGAATTCAACCAGATTTTATTTCAGTACTGGAGCAGCAGCAGACTAACTAGTAATTAGTGGATGCCATGAGGCTGGGTCTTCAGCTGTCACTACCACTTCTGTGCAGCACGAGAGCTTGGAAATTGGCTATCATTAGAACATATATACATTTTAGATATGCCACCTGATTAACAACAAAACATCTTTCCTTTTGTAGCTCACAACCGTAGTTACTCTAAAAGAATGGGTTTATAAGAAATCAAAGGAAGAAAGGACTACAAGGTTGGCATGTTCTGGCCATCATATATCTCTGCCTCCTTAGATCCCCAAATCTCTCATCTCTCAGGGGGTACTTGGCCTTGTCTGGCATGTCTAGAATGTGTCTCTGTCAGACTTGCTTTCGCACCTCTCCAGCTACTTTCTAACTCCTCTGTCTCTTTACATCTCCTATAATCATTCAGTCATTCATTCCCACTTATAACCTCACTTTATTTGATAAAGAAAATAGAAACCATCAGATGAAAATTCATCTTCCACCCTCCAAACATGAAAAATGTAGATACTCTTATAACCACCATCTCCTTCTTCCATATTATTACAATAACCTCTAATTATTCCTCTCTGAAGCCCTGAATTCCATTCTTCTGTTATGAAATATTGTAGATGTAGGTATAAGATTCTTCTTCCTATTTCTTCCAATATTTCCATCTTTGTTCCTTCTTATATAAACTCTACTTCCTTCAGCATCACTATTCTATTCTACTGTTTCCCACCCTAGCTACTGTGCATCACTCTGCGTGATGTTTCCTCATTTGTACTCACCATAACACCCTCCTGACAGCTTTTCAACTTCATATTCACTGCCAATACAAAGATCAAATAAAAACAAGGGAATATACTCTGGCCCACTGTCTCAGTTTTATCCAGGTCATGTCATAGTTGTTGGATGACATGGAATGAACTAACACTAAACACAATCACTGAGGCTTCATGGACCATGTTCAGATTTATGTTACTTTACTCATTCATGGGAAGAGTTATAGCTTTCATTGTTTTCCCTTTGTGCAATAAAGCTGTTGTTGGCAAGCACATGGAATCTGGACTTCTTATCCAAAAGAGTGAAGGTGAGATATAAGACACACCATAGAGACAGATTCTCTAGTGGATGGGAACGCACATCATTAGAGACTGTTTCGTACCCTGAGTGCATCCCACCATATGCCGTGTGTTGAGCAGCAAGGCTTACCTACACTTGAATTGTTCAAGAATTAATAAAATTGGTTAGTCTAGCTGTTCGCCCTCTGTGACCAAGTGTCCAACCTCATGTTTGTACAGAGAGTATCCTACAGATTCTACCAGCATCAAAGCCTGTCATATTTCCTGTGATTAAAAAAAAAAAAAAAAAAAAAAAAAAGGATCTATGAGCATATGGAGAAGCTAGTGCAAAGGGCTTAATTTTAAAGCAATGTTCCATGAAATGAGGTCTGGTTTTATGATTCCAGTACTACTTGCTCCCAGAAGGACTACAATTTGTAAAATATAGACTAGGTAGAGGATCAGTGTGCTTGTGTGCAGTGGATTCTAGATGTCTCCGGCTATTAATATCTGCGCTATAGGATCCAGAAAGTAACTTTAAATTTATTCAGCTATCCGCTATCATTTGGTAGAACCTATAGATTTTCCATTCTGCAAATATTTTCTTATATTATTGTTTTATTTTTACATTATCATTTTATCTTTTCACAAATATGTTTAATCTTTCAATAGCAATTTTTTTCTTTTGTGTTTTGGATAAAAATTTACTTGGCTTGAAATTCAGACCTCACTTGTCTCATTTTTCTCCTGCCCCCTATCTAGATGCTGTATTATGTAAAAGATATCCCAGCTACTCTGAAATTCTTCCATGGTCTTTTAGCTACCAACGCTAAGATTCTGATTATTCTTACATCAGGTGAGTTATGTTCATTCAGTATGAATTTTATAATAGCAACTGTGCACGTATGCATAGATTCATATGTGTAAAGAAGGCTGTAAGCATATCTGGTCTTAGCCTTGGTCTCTGATCATAGTCAATTAATTTTTCACTCTTAGAAGAGTCACTCACAGTTTTCTCACTTTCAGGAACATAGTGGAGTTGAATGCATATGAGTTCCTTTTTGTCCAGGAAAAGTCTTCAATTCTATCTGAATGATTTTTATGTAATATAAATTTCAAGTGATAAATATTTTTAAATGAGACACAACATGATAAATGTTTATATTTATGTACTTTAGGCCACTTACGTGTCTCTTTTCCATCTGTAATATTTATTAATAAGTAAATAAAGGTTTAACTATTCAGTTACCCTCTTATGTGCATATTTGTTTAGTTTGCATTTCTGTTGCTATTAGCTGCATTGTTGATTGCATCTTTTCTCAAATACCTATCAAAAATAGTCTAATTACCTTGTTTTGTAGTATTGTTTTGTTTTGTTTTTCTTTTGTTCTGTTTTCTAAAATAAGCATTTGATCATAGCATGTTGCTTTCAGGGATATAGAAATACTTTTTCTTTTTTGTTGAGGTCATTCACTCATAATACACAGCAGTCCCCGTCTTCCTAAGCAAATTGTAAGTACTTAGTCCAAATCATATCACAAAATCTACTTTTTCTCAATTATAAGGAATAATTTTTTAAATGACAAATATGATTGCTGCCTATAATCCTGGGCTTAAAATTATATAGAAGTTTGGAAATAGAGAGCTCCTGTACGTAACCTGCTGCCCAACCATCTTGATATACTATTTTTACCTCTAGTTGAAAGTATTCATTTATGTGGGAAAGGTCTGGCTTGCCATTTGGAAGGTATTATGTAAACTGAATCCTTCCTGCTAACCTCTGTCTAATTTAGGATACTTAGCAAAAGTGCTATGCACTGCATTTTGAAATTGAAAAGAAACTTAGTTAAAACATTGTGGCAAACACGTTCCTGATGATATCCATAAGTACGCCAAAAGGAGTATTATAGACAGAAACTTATGCAAAATTTTTATTTTGTTTTTTTTTTATTTCTGGTTTATTTATTTTTTATTTTTATTTATTTTTTCCCACAATTTTATTGATAAACAAATAGCAATGAGACAGTTTCACATCAAACTGGTAGGACAGTTTCAATAATTAACACAGTGCATACTGTCTTCGTAGTGGTTAATTGCTGTTTTGTTTTGGAGTACATTTCATATCAATAGCATATCCACTGTCCTACGCAAAATATTTTCAAAAGTTAAATATTTGCATGCCAGAGGCAACATTCTATGAATATGTATCTACTAATAAAGAAAAGATGGGGTAAGGCTTAGAAAGTGCTATTAAGGAGTCTACACACAACTGAGAATTGAATAAGTGTAACTTTGGATATAATATTGTGCTGACTATGCTATGAAAAGTTCATATAGTCCATTATTAGGCATCAAGACATGTTCAAATCAAAACAGAACCAGTAAAAAAAACAACAGTGATGATACATGGAGCAAGAATGCCAAAGCACGGTACACCGGTGTGGGTCTAAGTATTAATGCGGGGACTTATTGATGACACATCTGCATTATATTCCATTACTGCATATGTGGGGTCTAGGTAGACGTACAATGGAGGTGTGCAGCCTCCTTTTTGATTTTTGATTTTGACAAACTCAAAAATGAGTTAGTTTTCTTTGAAAAGTATTTTGGGCCAAAAATTATTCAACCAGTATATTTTTGTATGGTGGAAACATTTGACTTACATTCTCGTTAGATACATCACAACATTTTTAATATTACAGTGCAGGAGACTGTTACCCTGAAGGGGAAAGCATTCTTAATAGGTGCAGTATCTATGTTCATGAGGGAGATTGGCCAGTAGTTCTCTTTCTTAGTTGTGTCTTTCCCTGGTTTTGGTGTCAGTATAATACTTGCCTCCAGGAATATCTTTGAAAGGATTGCTTCCTTTTCAATTTCATTGAAGAGTTTAAGGAGTATAGAGACTACGTTTTCTGCAAATTTCTTGTAGAATTCAGCTGTGAATCCACTCGGACCTGGACTTTTCTTTGTCAGTAGGTTTTTTATTACATCTCGTATTTCATTGGCTGTTATTGGGCTATTGAGAGTGGTTATATCTTGTTGATTCAGTTGTGGTAATTTGTAGTTTTCTAGGAATCTGTCCAATTCATCTGTGTCTTCTATTCTGTGAGAGTGACCTTATCAGATACAAAAGCTACAACCCTTGTTGCATAGGTCCTGCTTACATTGGTCTTAACCATCCAGCAGAAAAGTATAAGAAGTAAAGCCATGCTGTTATGTTGAGCTGTTGAGGGGACTCAGGTCAACAATTTACGACAGTGCCAGTGAAGCAGAAGACCCACTACTATTATGGACTACTGGACTCTTTTAGAATATTTTGCTGAGTTAACACACCTATAATATTCAAATGATGAAATTAAACAAAAAGGAGATACAGACAAATGTCCGTTTTGTATCTGTGTATTCAAAATGGTTAGGATAGATATATAGTTACATTCTCTTAATGACTAGAGGGATTTGTTGTAATAGTGTTCATAAATAGGTTATCATGTATCCATCTTGTACAGCAAATACCCACTAGGAAGAGAGTATGCAATGTGTTAATTATTGAAACTGTCCTACAAATTTGATTTGAAACTGTCTCTTTGCTATTTGCTTCTCAATAAAATAATGCAAAAAGAAAAAAAAAGGAAAAAAAAGTGCAGTTCCTAAACCCAAGAATGCAACAAGTAATAATTGTTAGATCACTGAGCTGTGGGTCAGATGACCGTCTCCCTGTACCAGAGCGTTTACTTTGTAGAAGAGGTTTCCAGTATTACAGACAGAATATGCTCTCCATTTCTTTTTATAGGAGAAAGTAGATTTGCACATTATCTTCTTTCTTTCTTTTTTTCTTTCTTTATTTTTTTTTTTTTCCAGATTCGGGGATTGAACTCAGGCCCCTGTGCTTGCCAGGGAAGTGCTTATTCCACTGAGCCATCTCCCCAGTCCCTTATCTTCTGAATTTTATATTTCTCTCTCCTAAATCTAAAGTAGTCTCAGGTATTTTCTTTTTTTACTTGTATTTATCAATTTTTTGAGCAAATTAACTAAATATAAGCTATTTTTAAATAATTTTATCAATATAGTTTCTTTCTTTCTTTCTTTCTTTCTTTCGTTCTTTCGTTCTTTCTTTCGTTCTTTCTTTTGTACCAAGAATTGAACTCAGAGAACCAACCAGACAGCTCAGCAGATTGAAGTACCTGCTTTGGCAGAGGAAAGGACTGGCGTTCAATCCCTGCAGCTGTGCTGGCCCTGCCCCAGGGGAGCATTGATATGTTGATTGAGACTGGGCATAGTGGCACAGGCCTGCAATCTCAGTGCTTGGGAGCCTGAAATCAGGAGGGTCACTGAGCGTCTGATCTGTATAGTGAGACCCTGAATTAAATACATAAAATGAATCAAACTCAGGACCTTCTGCTTGCTAGATAGGCACTGTTCCGCTGAGCTATAGCCCCAGCTCTTTAATATAGTTTCCTTTGCAGTTTAAAAGATATTATATTTGAGGCCCGGGGAGATAGCTTAGTAGAATAAGTGCTTGTCTAACAAGCGTAAGGTCCTGAGTTCAATTCCCAGTACCACAAAAAAAAAAAGAAAGAAAAAAAAAAGAAAGAAAAGATATTATATTTGAAAAGAGAAATAGAATTGCTAAGTATATTTATTACTGCTATTAACTTACTATATAGCTGGAATACTCCCTGGAATGCAGACAGGCCCTGAAGTCATCTGGGTTTGTAGGTAACTCTAAAAATATAACGCAAATACCTGGCGCTTGCATCTCAAACAGCATCACCCTTCTACACAACCTTTCCCTCCTAAGAATGCCCAGGGGTCCAGCTTACGTGCTGAATCAAAGCAGTCATTTGCATTGAATTTCTCCTCCCAGTTTATCATCTGGTTCCTTCTTTCCTAATCTTGCATGTGCTATAGCTGCCCTTTCTCATCTTGTCCCGCCTTGCCCCAAGCGTGGACATAGCCCTCCCTCCTTCAGTCTTCAAAACACTGTTCTTTACTTTTCAGGTATGTCAAAACTCATGACTATGAAGATAAATGGAGAGAATGTGTGCTCACAAGCCTGTCTATGCACCGTGAATGTGCTTGAGATAAATTCTTTCACCCCTCATTATAAGGGGATGACATATTTTCTTTTGAAATCAGCAGTAGGGCCTGGGGAGATAACTCAATAGAATAAGAGCATCCCTGTCAAGTGCAGGGTCCTGAGTTCAATCCCTAGTATTGCAAAATAAATAAATAAATAAATAAATAAATAAATAAATAAATAAATAAAATCAGCAGTAATTATTTTGTTGTATCAATACACTAGATATAATCTGTGGGCCTACTTTGAGAAAAATAGATTGAAATTCATTTCTAACATTGAAAACTAATTTAATCTCCCCCTACCCCAGGTTTATTTTAGAATTGCTTTAGGTTACCATTAGAACATGTATAGGGATAACCCATGTGATTACTATTTGGTGCCCATGGTGACCCAGGCATGGTGGCCTTCTCCTATAATCTCTGCAGTCTGAGAAGCTGAGGCAGGAGGATCAGAAGTTCAGTTCAGTCTGGGCAATTTAGTGACTTAGAAAGATCCTTTCTCAAATCTAAAAGCAAAATTAAAAGTTGTTGGAATTGCTTCGGAGCCTTTTGGCTAACACCAAGTGTAAAAGTTGTTGGAGATAGAACTAAATGCAAAGGCTCTGGATTCAAGTTATAGAACTGAAAAAAAAAATTATATTCGAATCTCTATCAATTTTATCAGTCTGTGAGTAGGAAAGAAGTTGCGAAGCCTCGCTAGGTGAGGTGCCCCAGCTGCATCTCCCCTTTTCACTTTTTCAGAACCATCGTCTTGGGCTGTCTTCAGAACCCAGACAGTACCTTTTAAAACTCCATTCTTAATTTAGAAAGTGAACATAAGGCTTGGCCCAAACACAGCCCAGCATGAACCACTTTAGTGTAGTTGCTCTGCATCTTAGAACAATATTCAAGTTTAAGTTATGATTAGCTTCTAAATGGAATTTACTTCATAATTACCTAACAGCAGATATGCTTCTGTATGTAACACTTTCTTATATAAATTCTCTACAAGGCAGAAAACTGAGTACTTCTTATAGGTAGATTCAGCTCACCCTGGGACTACTCCTGGAACTGAATTTCTAGGAGCACTCATCCATCCAGATCTCATCCGGTTAGGTTCGTGGTGCATCTCCAGCCATGTCTTGCTCTGAAGGGTGATCTGAAATATGCCACGTAGCTCACTCACATTCACAGCTGCCCATCTCAGTCGGATGCTAACACACTGCCAAACAGATGAGTTCTTTCATTGAAAAGAATAAAGTACTTAATTATTTGAGCAACATTTGGACACTTATGTGTGAAATTTATTGGGCAGTAAGATAGTAAAATTCGAAGTTGTTTTCTAGATGTAATTATGCAGAGTATCCAGTTTCACTAAGACACTCTATATGTAAGATTTCTACTATGTTCAGAGCACTGCTATCTTCTCAGTTCTGTGTTTGCTGTATAAGATAATGATTTATGGACTTGATATAGTGATAATATAGCTGATTAATTTGTTACTGAGAGATTCTGCTAGGGTAGTAAAAGCTGCATAGATATCTTCTATGCCTTTGAAAAACTTATAATTTAAAGGAGGACTTGTATAGGAAACACTTTCAGCAGTGGGCTGCTTCCCACCAGAGCCATTTAGACAGATGAGGAGAATGCCTGAGACTAGGTCTTTGCCTCTCGACTGTATTTCTAGATCTTTGTAAAGTTTTAAGCACATAAGAGATAACTCAGAATGTGTTTGAGTGGAACTAAATCGTTGTTTATTTCTACTTTGTGATATCAGCACTAATCAACTCTAAACCTCCATCCACAAAAGAGACCATATTAGATCTAAAATTAACTACAAGTAGACAAGAAATGAGTGAACATGAGACAGTTTTGTATATTTGTATATATATAAACTACCTACAAGGTAGTTTGCCATGATTTGGGTGCTGAGGCTAGAATCTAGCATCTTATTGTGCAAATGGTTTTAATTAACAGAAGTAAAAGTCTCAATGAAAAGATACACAGAGAGCCACACACTACACAAAAACAGTAAAGAACAAACAAGTAAGACCATTTAGGAAATAAAAGGCAAATGGAACTCAGATCTAAGTGATGGCCTTGGCTGGCTGACCTATTGGAATACATCCTGCTCCAGCGGACAAGCTTTTCCTCGGTGTTCCCAAGCGCCCGTCACAGAGCCAGCCGAGCTCAGTAAATTCTTCATCATGATGATGAGATTGATTTGGGATAGAAAATGGAAAGCACACATGAATAAAAGAGTTGGATTTTGTTTTAAATAAGGAGCACCCAGATGAAGATGATGCCAGCCGCATGTGCTTCTGCAAGTGTTGCAGCCAAGCACTAGAGGAGAGATGCTGAATGAAAGGCAGCCTATCGAGTTCAGCAAGGAGCTCCGGCAGGAGTGCACCAAGCTTTCTGGCTTTCCTCTCCTTACCTGGCTAGGAATTGTGTTATTTTTAATTCATGGTGTGTTATTTTTACTTCTGTGGGAAAATAGGATCGAGTTTATATCATGTTGAAAACAAAAGTGACACCATATGTGGTGCCCACTGAGAGTCGTTATGGTGATGCCTCAGTCAGAGGGAGCATAATTGCTCAGCTCAGAGGTGGCGCTGCGTCACAGTACTGACGCCAGTGAATTTGCTGTGATTAGCGTTTCGGGCCTTTTTCTCCCTCAGGTTAAAAATAATAATGATGTATCACAGAATAAATCCTGAGGGGATTTGACTGACCCTATCAGATCCAAAACCTACCACTCTTGTTGCATAGGTCTTGCTTTATCTTGATCTTCACCATCCAGCAGAAAAGTATAAAAACAAAGTATAAGAGGTAAAGCCATGGTGTTATGTTGAGCTGTAGGGGACTCAGGTCAACAATTTCTGACATTGCCAGTGAAGCGGAAGCCCCAATACTATTATGGACTACTGGACTCTTTTAGAATATTTTGCTGAGTTAACACACCTATAATATTCAAATAACGGAACTAAACAAAAAGGGGGTACCGATGCATGTCCATTTTGTATCTGTGTATGCATGATGGTTAGGATAGATATATAGTTACATTCTCTTAATGAATAGAGTGACTTGTTCTAATGGTGTTTGTAAATAGGATATCATGTCTGCATCTTGTACAGCAAATAACCACTAGGATGAATGTATGCAATGTGTTAATTATTGAAACTGTCCTGCCAATTTGATTTGAAACTGTCTCATTGTTATTTGTTTCTCAAAAAAAATTATGGAAAAAATGGAATAGAAAGAAAAATGGAAACTAAGTTTTCATAAATGAGAAGAGAGGTTAAAAGAAGGGAAGGGGATTGAGAAAAATAAGCAAGATTATATTGTGTACACATACAAAATTTCTATGATGAACAATACCATTATATGTTTAAAATATACCAATAAAATTAAAATAATAAAAATGGAAAAAATAATAGTGATGACAGTAAAAGCTTCTCTTCTGTGGAGAAAATCCACTGTTTCCTGAATGAAAGATTTTTAAATATGTACTCATGACCCTATATTTTCCATTCAACTGAGATTTATTTTTTCTGTCTTATTCCAATTTCACCTTTTCCTAGAGTGTATGTTACAGTTATCTATCTTCTGAAATGTTGGTAAACATCCAGTGTAGATAATTATTTACCATTTTCTATCATTGATGATCCTTTTCATTAAATATGAGAACTTCTACTGAATCCATATGATACCTCTCTTCGCTTTGATGCTGGGTTGCATTTTCAGTTAGATACAATAGATTTTGCTAAATTGTCCTTTAGCGTTGGGAACAAAATTTGTAGAAATAAACCTAATTAATGGTGGTACAAGACAGCATCTTCTAAATGATAGAAATAGAAGTCTATCACTTTGGTTTGAGTAAGTCATCATTTACTTATTGCAGTTTTTTTTCCATTTCAACTTACTGTTCATGCGACCTCCTCTTGAACACCAGACTACCACAAAGCACTGTCTTCTTCTCACCGCCTGAATGTTCCATAGGTATCTCAAATTTATATTTCCAAACCAGATGCTTACTGATGCATTTGAAAGTGCATCTCTTTCATTCCTTTAATCTCCAATAATGGAACTTCTTTCTTTTCAGGTGCTTAGGCAAAAATCACTGAGGCCTTCACTAACTTTCTTCTTTCTTTTCTTTGTTCTTTCTTGATATCTAAGTTGTTCAAAATTCCATTGAGTCTAGGAGCCTACTACCTAAACTATATCCAACCATTTCTATTTGCCTCCTAATTCTGTAGTCTGAGTCACTATCACATACCATGTTATTATAGTAGTCATCTCACTACTTCTCTGCTTCTGGGTTATATCCCTTTATAGTCAATTGTCATCTGTATGGTCTTGTTAAATGTAAATTAACACTAACATTGTGTAATGTAATATGAAAGGCAAATTTAGCCATGGAGATTGAAATAAAAATTGATTACAATGAAATGAAAACTAAAATTAAGCTCCTCAGTTAGCTTAGTTGCAATTTAAGTGCTTCATAGCTGCAACTAGCAAGTGGCTACCATGTTGGCAACACAGATAGAGAATATTTGAATCAGCACAGAAACTTTGGCTGGGAAGGACTACAAAGGGTTTCCCATCTGGCCTCATGTGATCTGTTACTTCATGTATGCCATCTTCTACCTATTCAACCCCAACTGTTTCCATTCTCCCTGCTTGCTCACACAACACCAATTGTGTGGGCTTTCTGGTTAGTTCATAAACACACCAGGCATGTACCTGCCTTAGCTCTTTGGCTGTTTTTCTTCCTTGAGATCTACATAACATGCAGTCAAATTGCTGCTCAAATATCACCTTACTGAAGAGACTTCTCTAACTACCCCAGATAAAAAAGCAGTGCCTCAAGCCTTTAACCTTGCTTATCACTTACTCTAATTAGATTTTCATTTAGCACTGATCATCATGGAATATAAGATATATTTACTTATTTAAACTTTCACTTCTACTATGTTTCTTGAGTTGAGCTACAGAAGTGTGAGAATATTATTTTGTTCACCACTTTATTCCACACATCTAGTATGCTACCTGACAGAAAAGAATGAAAGAAAGAATCAATAAAAACGTGAAATTTGTTTGTTTCTACAGGAAACAGCGGCTGGGGCAAGCTGTGGGGCAAGTACGGATCCCGCCTGCCCCAGAATGACCTCTGCCTGTATGTCACATCCTCTCATCTCACTCAGATGCTGGACAGCCTGGGGATTAAGTATGAGTGTTATGATCTTCTGTCCACCATGGACATAACTGACTGTTTTACTGAGGGTAATGAAAATGGAAATTTGCTTTGGGATTTTTTGACAGAAACCTGCAACTTTACTACAACAGCACCACCGGATCTCAGAGCAGAAATTATGAAAGATCTACAGAAGCCTGAATTTAGTGTTAAGAAAGATGGGAAGGTTCTCTTTAATAATAACCTGAGCTTCATGGTGATTGAGGCATAACTATCACTCATGAGAATGTTTTCAAATTTGACATTTTGGATAACTGTCAATCATTTATATCCATATTAAAATTATAATTACATTTCATAGATAAAGCATTATCTACTATAAAAGAAATCTAGGAAATTCTAAGACATTTATGGACTTCTAAGAAGAAACACTTGGAATACTTCTAGTCTTTTCTGTCTCTGAGACACTAGGCAAGAGCTGAAAACATCAGACACTGAATTCTATTGGCTTGCTGATTCAACAATAACAAAAAGAAAAGCCTTTGCATTTGCTAATTGTACTACAATTTTCAAGGATACTAATAAAATACATTGTGTGGATTCTTAACAACTGTTGAAGTCAATACTTATTGATTTTCTTCTTTTTGGGGCTGGGTACCAGGAATTGAACTCAGGACCTTGTGCTTGATAGGAAGCCACTGGGCCTGCTGAGATATATCCCCAGCCCAATCACTGATATTTTGATCACTTAGCACATTTGTCTTGTTTTATGAAGCATTGGTTTTGTATATTATTTTATTTTTGTTTTATTGAATATTAAGAGCAAGTACTTTTGAAGATTACAAAATTAACTCTGACATATTGTCATTTTCTTTTCATTTTTAATTCTTCTATGATCTAATGTTTTGCATGTTTATCTTCGATGTACTGAAACTTTCTACTTTATTCATCAAAATATATTTTTTTTAAATTTGTGGGTTTCTGACACATTTTATATACTTTATTTTAAAGAGAGAAAAACATTTCACAATTTCAAAACAAGATGAGAGAAATTTAACAATGGTTATTGGATTACATATTGTTATCTTCAAAGTAGTTGCTCAGGTTACAAGATACAGGCTTGCAAAATTATTGAAACAATATAGGCACTAGCACAATTATCTTAGCTATTTTGTATATAT